AAGTCAGACCCAGTTGAGGCGCTTTCAGCAGTCAAGAGGCTCTCGAATACACCTAAGGAAAAGTCAGAGCCAGACGAGATGCTTTCAGAAGTCAATAGGCTCTTAGAGACCCCTGAACAAAAATCCGAATCTGATGAGATGCTTTCAGGAGTCAAGAGGCTTTTGAGGACACCAAAACAAAAGTCAGAGCCAGTCGAGGAGCTGTCAGCAGTCAAAAGACTCTTGAAGACACCTAAGCAAAAGTCAGAGCCAATCGAGGCTCTTTCAGCAGTCAAGAAGCTCTTAGAGACACCTGAACAAAAATCAGAACCTGTGGAGGTGTTTTCAGCAATCAAGACACTGAAAACACCCAAACAGACTATGGCGCCTCTTGCTGATGATATCTATACTAAATCTAGGTTATCTACTGAAGAAGTATCAAAGGACATGATTGGAAGTGTTACCAAAAATAAAACACAAATTATGGAAGATACAAATATTAATGACATTACTGAGGAAGTTAAGGAAACTGTGAAGACAATAGAAGATAGAGGAAATAATCAAATGATGTCACCAAAAGAAAGATTTGAACCCATGAATAATATGGTTGGCAGCAGTCAGACATTGAAAGCATCAAAATCTATGCCAACTGATGACTACTTGGGATTGCAGAAATTTATGGTTGAACCTCGAGAGAGTTCTGTAATTCCTGATATAGGTTATACAGGTGTCAAAGAAATGTTGGACACTGAAAATGATAAGGTATGTTCATTATATCAAATATTTGTACTCATTTTTATTTAGGTAGCCCATAATTTAGTAACTAAAAGAATTCACATAATCCATTTTTATTCCATAATAACATCTTGAAATATTGGGATCAATTATTTTGATCCCAGAAAATTCAAATGAAAATTCGATAATTACTTTGGTTTTAGGGCTAAACATTGTGATCTTGTAGTAAGTAGCTACTTCAATTTTTAGAACTAAAATTGCAATATTTTGGATTCTTAATTATAGCTGTTAATATTTCAAAACACAGATTTAAAAATAAATCCTCTGCTTCTTACTGTCACTGCCAGCGGTAATACTTCATATTTGAACATATAGTCTATCATGTGTTACTATATTTTTAATATACATAATATAAATTTGTGTAGCACCCAATTTCTGCTAATATAAAACAGGATTATGTAAAACATTTCCTTGAGAAGCATAGCTTCTTGAAATGCTATGCTTTGCCTATACATGCATGTTGTAAGTACACTTATTTTGATTTTCTGGCAGATATAGCACAAGTACAGTCTGCATGCACTCAAGAAGGAAATTTGGAACAATGTTCAGCTGCACTATTTCCTAAGCCCAGCCTTACAAAATACATAACTGTATCATTCAAGGAAGGGTATGGGACATTTTTATTTGAGCAATAATTTGATGTCTGCTATTTTAATAACTCTAATATTTATAGGATAAAATGCCGGAATCTCTGAATTTTGTGGAAGAAAATGGATCTTATACCAGTTCCAGAAATAAACTGGGTAAGTATAAAGTTTATTTCATTAAAATATGCTTTGTATATTCTTTTCAAAGAATACTATAATATAGGTGAATGAAGATGTGGTTCTGATTTATTCATGCAGAAACATTTTGTCTAAATTTTGACATTTTACAGATTGTTTCACTACAGTGAATATTAATGAGAATTGTTTTTTAAAAATTAGTAGATCTATGAAAATTTAAAATTAGTAAAAATTTTAGAATATAAATATTAGGACAGTATTCCAAAAAGAAGTTTTTATATCATTAATGAAATTCTTACATAAATGTTTCTCCAAAGTAAAAAGAAAGTCACGCAATTCAAAACTTCACTTTTCTTAATGACTGTGATCTTAAAAATATATTTGAACATGTTTTATTTCAGACTCCATGGAAAGTGTGCCTGGAAGTTGTGAAGCAAACCTGGAAATGAAAATTGAAAAAGAATCTCATTTTCCAGTTACAAAAAGTAACAGTAGTGTTCCAAACCACGTAGGCCATATTGCATGTAATTCATTTAGTGAATTGAAAACAGAGTTCAACAAAAAAACAACCAGAACAATCTCTCTCTCTGAAAACTACGAGCCAGATGGAATGAGTTTCAAAAATGAAGCCGAAACTGATTTTGTAAAGGAAGCAGCTGAAAATTCTGATGCATTAAAACCAGAAAACCCTGAACCACTTGCTTTGGCTAGAACTAGGAGAAAGAAAATAAATGACTCCAGTTCTGCAATAGATACAAAGATGATTCAGAGGCATACAAAGAATAGATCAACATCAGCTAATTGTGAGCAAATCATTGAAAGTTTTGACAGCCACACAGAACTAAACCCATCACACGAATCCGAAAGCAATTTTACAACAATTGAAACAACCAAATTATCTAAAAGAGGAAGACCAAAAAAGCAATGCGTTGAAACAAATGGGAATATAGGATCTGACAACATAAGCTATACTCAGGAATTAGAAAAATCTTTAAAGGAAGTAACAGTGGAAAAACAGCCTGTAAACAGGAGAAAAGTGCCAACTAAAAGAAAAGGAAAAACTGTAACAAGTATGGATTTGGAAGAAAATGGACCAATTCAAGAAAACG